ACTCTTCTCTTAACCATGTCTCTAAATCAATTGTCCCTTCCTCAGGAAACCAGGGACAAACTTCTTCTATAAGTTGCAAGAACTTCATTAACTGTTCCTACTTTAGTTTAGCTCCTCTAACTGTAAGTATATTCTTAAGCATATGTACAAATAGCAGTCGACTATTTCCTTGGCCCATTATATCTTCCCTTTCAGTTTCTATATTACAAAAACTCCTGCGTACTCACCTTCACCGCCCACGGCTTTTTTGGCCAATCTCGAGTGCACTTGTCTTACAGTGGGTCCTTGCTATTTTCCGTTTTCAGGTCGCTGTTCGGGCGCCACTTGTCGGAAACCAGCCGACCAAGTCAAACCAGGTCCCTGAATGGGGGAGCGGGGACTGAGAATAAATAGAAGACAGACAGGGTGCAGGAGGGAGAACAGATCTCACAACTGTCTCTCTGAGTTTATTTCTTAGGCTCCTTTTTATACATATTCTGTTCCTTTGTGTATCCCAAGATAACATAGTTAAAATAACATCTTGAAGATCAAGGTACAATCGAAACTCCCTTCGAAACTCCCTTCGTACCTCCTGTTTCTAATCTTAATCTTCTTCCTCCTGCAATTCCTCAGAACCAGCCTTTTCCCTTTTATATGCAAGCAGGCCTCCCGAGATAATCCATGCACTCCTTTGAATTTTGGGAGCTTTAGCTCCCTACAGGTGCCTCTGGGGCCCTTCACAATAACTGTGAGTCTTTTTGGAGTGATATCCACATTTTCTGGAATGCTGACAGTCTGATTGCTGAGAATGGTCTTCAACTTCGCAGTTATTACGGAAAAGAGAGAACCCCTTTAATGTTCTTCCTCAAGTTGACTTCTTCTCACCCTTCCTGGGAGGGACCACAGGCCTGCTAGTTCCTCAGCCTGGAGTGCTGTCATCATCCACACCCCACCCTCTATTATTACTATTATTATCCCTTCAAGTTTAGCTCAAATTTTAACTCCCCAGGGAAACCATCTCAGCCTTTAGCATATGGTTTAGTTCCTCTGTGTTCTCAGAATACTTTATTTATGTCATACAGTAATAGTATAAAATTTGCTGTCATATCTATTTCCTCCACTGTGAGTTCTCAAGGACTGAAAAAAGTGTTTCGTCTAGAATCCCCCATGTCTACAGCACAATGCCTCGCAAAGAAGTCATATCCACTAAGTAAATGTTGAATGAGTGATTTAAAGGTAACCAAATACTGGTAATATCACCAGAGAAGTAGCAGAATTATTTGTCCTCCTCTAAACTACTGGTTCTCAAGCAGTTTGGTTTTGTAACCCCTTTACAATCTTAAAAGTTATTCAGAACCCCAAAGAACTTATGTATCTGTAATATCTATTATGTATCTGTGAGTAATATCTATTGATAAAATTAAAATTGAAACAGAAATTTAAAAAATACATTTCAAAATAACCCATTACACATTAATAATATATTTTTATGAAAAACAACTATTTTCCAAAAATAGTGAGAAGAGTGGCAACGTTTTACATGTTTTGCAAATCTCTTGTCTAATAGAAGACAGTTCAATTCTCGTATTTGCTTCTGCATTCAATTTATTACTATACACTGTTTTGGTTCAAGTAAATGAAGACAATCTAGACTCACAGATATATAATTGGTAAAGATGATAACTGTTATTTCACGTAAAATGGTATTCCATGAAAAAAATGTGGCTGTTTCAGCACACAATTCAATTGCGTAAGTGCTTTTCCTGGAGACAGCCACAGCACTTTTGTATGCAGCAAAAGTGCTTTATGTGTATTTCTCATTCAGAATATTAAAAAGATGGATACTCAAAAGTTGAGAATAAAATTATTTTTACTTCTTCAAGGATATTCTTAGGTGAAACCAACTTTTTTGAAAACTGTAAATTTGTGATGATGAAGAATACGACTACCAGTACTGTTCCGTAACAGGGGCTTGAAACATACTAAGGCACCAGCAGTTTCACCCACGATTTCATTTCAGAATATCAGTACGGTCAACGCAGTGAAAAAGGCAAAGAAAGTCTAAATATTATTACGAAATAATTTTGATCTCATGGACCACAAAAGAGTCTCCGGGACTTCAGGATCCGACAACTACACTTTGAGAACAAATGCTCTGGGTCTGTTTCACATCTTAAAATCTGGGTAATAGCACCAATGTCTTAGAATTGCTGTGATAGTAAATAATGTACTTAAAATACCCAGCACAAAATCTTATAAAAAGAACACCATAAACCTTTCTATTTATATCTCAGATGTGAGTTTTTTGCATAACACCGTATTTGAAATCTGATCACATTTGCAATCATTTCACATGTAAACGTAGCTTCAGGATTTTTGCCCAATTCTTTACATTAGTTGGGTTAAAATAGTATTTAACATAAAATTTACCATTTTAACCATTTATAAGTGTTCAATTCAGTAGTATTAAGTCCATCCATTATTGTTCATATGAGGCTTTTAATTTTAGCCAATTCTGTGTAGGAGCACTTGTCTTATTTACCTAGGCATTTATCAAATATTTACTTTACATGCGACAGGGCAGATTCAATCCCTTTTGAGACTCTTCGCATTTCTCTAGATGACTTCTATTTTTCAAATTTTTTATTTAACAGCGTATCCTCTATATTGGGTGAACTGAGCAAAAATAAGTAAATTTGCTGTTAGAAATGTACCTACCCGCCTATATACTTAAAAAACTCAGTTTCTGTAATTTACATTACCCGACGAGCGCCAGAGCCGAACCCCGGATAGATGACTTTGAGCCAGGTAGGGGTGGGGCTTAGCCGGCAGTAGCTTCCCAGCATCCTTAGCGAATTTCTGAGTCCCTAACTGCGCATGGCGCGGTGCAGGCGCAGGCGCAATAGACATTTCTTGATTTCCTGTCTCTTCAGAAGGTATAAATGAGGATGCCTTGAGCTCGCTCAGTCTTTTCGGAGAAGAGATTTCGTTCTGTTCTGGATCAGTTCGGTGAGTGTTTCTACCTTCCTGGTTTAGCAGCTCTAGGTCTAGTACCCGGGCCTGACAAGCAACCTTTCTTGTGGAGATTATACTACTTAGAAAGATTGCCTTTTGCGTCGTCTGCGCTAAGTACGCTTAAGTCGTGCAGTGGGTTTGGATCGGACTCTCGCGGGCTCTGGAGGCCTCGCGAGTCGCGGACGATGGCCATAACCGAGAGACGCGAGCGACACCCTACTCGCTGAGACGGTAAAATCGCATCCCACCGCCATCCCACGTTGGCTATTGTGCCGTTTATTACCTTGCTTCCTAGGAGTCTCGTCGTCCCCGGAGTTGCACGCAGAACGGTATTCCTGATGCCCAACCACGTTTGAGCCCTGATTTCGAAGCGGGCGGCTCTTAATTTAATGCCAACTTTAACATTTAAGAGTAATTTCACGACCCTAGATGATTGGTTTAAAGATATATAAGGCTTAATTTCTGTCAAAACGGCTCTGCGTTTACTCTTTTTTTTGGCAGCGTGCTAATGGAGTATTAATCTAGATGTTTAGGTACCTGGCTGAAAGTTAATTCTGGTTTCTGATATGTGACTGCTGGTCCGTCTTGAACTTGAGTTTTGTTGACTGTTTCAGTAAGCAACGTGGATACCCCGGGAGGTCACTCTCCCCGGGCTCTGTCCAGGTGGCGTAGGGGAGCATAGGGCTCTGCCCCGTGATGTACAGTCCCTTTCCACAACGTTGGAGATGAAGCCGGGCCTTGAGTCTGCGCCTGCATATTCCTACAGCTTCTCAGAGTCCTTTGGACAATGACTGAGGAGATAAACCATGCAGGAAACAGCTCTGTAGAGCACCCTGTCTAAATCTAGGTTGGTCAGATGTGAAAGGAAATTTCGCATTAATCAGTTTTACTGTGCTGCTAGATTAAGCTCTTTGCTTTCCTTGTTTTGCAGCATTCACTCAAGATTCCAAATAACTTGGTTTGGGGTAAGTAAATCTACAAATTGCTTTTGGCTTATTGGTGTTTGTCAGCATTTTGCAGAAGACATTTAATCATTCTGAGCTCAGTCCCCTTTCATGAAGAGGCTATTGCTGTTTATTACATCCAGATAGCTTTGCTACATTTTTGTAGGAGTATTAACAGTGTCTTAGATGTATGCTCATGTGCTGAAGAGATGGCTTTTTTCCTCCTGTAAAACTTAAGATTTTCACATCCTTAATTGTGTTGTAGGGTTATTTCCACTTTACAAATGAAAAACTTATGATAGTTTGGGTTGACATAACCAGAGTTACAGCAAAGCTTGCATATGAGTGATTAAATAGTCAATAGTAGTGACTGGTTTGGAATTGATTTAAAACCAGTTACTAACCCACTATGCACTCAAATCTACATGTGTGGTATGGAATGAAGGGATCTCTAATGAGTTTTGAGGAATAATGCTGTTTAGCAGTACTGCCTTAGATTACACAAATTTGTGATTAGGCATTCCAACGTGGGTACCCCCGGGAGGTCACTCTCCCCGGGGCTCTGTCCAGGTGGCGTAGGGGAGCATAGGGCTCTGCCCCATGATGTACAGTCCCTTTCCACAACGTTGGAGATGAAGCCGGGCCTTGAGTCTGCGCCTGCATATTCCTACAGCTTCTCAGAGTCCTGTGGACAATGACTGAGGAGACAAACCATGCAGGAAACACCTAGTATACTAAACTTTAAATTTTAAGATCATAAGTAAGACTCTTAATTAACTCTAATCCTTTTCTTCTCTTTTCATTCAGGAGAGAAGAGGAGCTTTATGTAAATTGTTGACAGTTGACAATGCTTTTGCATCCTTTATTTGGCAAGGAGAGTTGGTAAAGTGATAACCCTCTTGAAGGTATATATAACTGCTCTTTATTCATCAAAGGGTAACAATAGAAATGTAAGTTCAGGCATGGCTCCAGACCCCTAACAGCCGGAAGGGGTGGAATGGTCCGTTGGCCAAGTGACGCTTTGGAATTTATCATTGCAGAAGGCACTGATCGTCAGCAGCTCTTTTAGGGTAGTATAGTCCTTGAACCTGGGAGACCCAAGAGACCTTATGAGATGAAAGTGTCATGAAACTAAGATGTTACTTTGCCTTTTTCATCATTACCAAGTCAACTGGGTTTTCTAACTACCTAACAGAAAGCAGAAGCCCATGAGAACCTGGGTATCTTTTTTTAAAATGTCAATTTCTGATGTATTTATGAATTAAAATAAAGAGCTGTATACATCTTTGTGGTTTCTTTTTTATTTGGAAATGTGGGATCAGCCCAAAAAGTATTCAGTGAATAGAAGTGCTTCTTAAATACCTATTATATAACAGTTAATATCTGATTAGTTCCATGCTAAAGACCCTGAGCTTTTGTCCTGTGTGTTGTCACTATCTTGTGTTCGACTTTATATCGCACTTACACCATTGGAAAGATGCCTGGTTCCTGACCAGTTACACAGGGCCCAGGTAAAAGCTCCCTAGCTAGATCCTACTTTGATTATATAGTTAGCTGGTTAAATTCAAGGCTGGGTTACATTGGGGTGTGTGGCTCGTGAACTTAGTTGTCTCAGGCTAAATAGCCCTCTGGACATAGTGTTGAATGATAGATCTGGGTTGATGATTAGACCAATCCTGTCAGGTTTTCTACAGTGTACAAGGTAAATGGGCATTAGCAGCTATATGATTGGTCATAAATGTTAAAATTGTACAGCTGTTGGATAGCACATCTTTACAAGCAGGTGTTTGGTTGGAGCTACAGTCCATGGTCTTAGGGCCATGCCACCCTGAACAAGCCCAGTGACTGATCTCCAAAGCTACTGAGGGTCGGCCTTGTTAGTGATTCGATGGGAGGCCACCTAGGAAAACCAGGTGCTGTAGGCATAAATACTAAAAAATTGTGCAGCTGTTGCATGCTGAACCTATCTGGCCAAGTGGGGCCCTTTATCCTTGAAGAAAATTGCCTGAGTGATGTGAGGTTGAGTCACAATGGAAACTATCAAACCCTTGAACAGGCTGCCAGCATTGTAGGGAAGTCATAGGCCCTGAAGGATGGGGACTAGTGGGGAACCATCTAGAAGGTAAGAGTCTAGATTCTTAGTGGGGCTAAGTGAATATAAGGTGGGGGAAGGGATACTCATGAACTCATTTAGAAACCATCGGGATCAGTTTTAGAGGGATTCGGGTGAATTTGGGTTTTGGTGGATGGTGGTCCAAACGAAAGTCCAGTCCAGATGGACAGTTGCAAATGGTGTTTGAGGATGAGAAGTAGTTACCATGAATTGCCATGGTTTTGCCATGGTTTAGGAGAACAACCTAGGAGAGCTTGTTGGCTTTTTAAACTAAGAGCAGCAATGTATGAAAGCTCATCTACCTACCCAAGTAGCAGCATTTATGCTAAGCACCGTTCTAAGCATCCGGCTTAAGTGGGTATTAATGTAACCTATCTTCAAGGGAGAACTGAGGAACAAAAAGGCTAAATTGCCTAAATCCACAACTAGGAAGTGGACCCTCTGCACAAACCCATCCAACTGCAGACTTGCTAGGAGGGAGCCAGATGGAGGTCAAAATCTTGTTTGTATCTCCAGGACTAGCCCTGTGTCCACCTCTCAATATTACCACATACATGAGAGTAGGTGCTCAGTAAAATGAACAGCTTTTCCCCAACCAACAACCAGGGAATTTATCCAGTGCTTATTAAAAAGTCACAGGGTATAGAGGTGGATAACTAATGCTGTGTGGGAAATACTTGCATTTCTCCTGATGTCTAAGTATAGCTGAAACAAAGCTTTCAAAGGTAGTCTAGGTTTTGCCTTTTGTGCTAAACTATCTTGCAACATATCTCCCTGTCTGTAGACTTCCAAACAGGCTTTTCTGGCCTTTTTCTGCACTTGGGTGGGCAATCGTGTCAACTGTTGCCAAACTTGGAGTCATACTGCTTAGGTTTGAATCCTGGTACTACCACTTCCTGTCCATGTGACCTTGGGCAAGCCACCTAACCTCTCTTCCTCAATTTCTTCATAGAATGGGGATGATAAAAGTATCTACATAAAGAGCTCTATAAAGTGAAAAAAACTATCTCTTGGGGTTTTAACGAAAATTAAGTTAATATTTGTAAAGTTTGTTAGAGTCCCATAATGAGTACAATGAGCTCGTTATATAAAATCCCCCGACTTCTCAAGCAAACAAGTAAGGATACAGTTACCTCACTCAGAACTACCATACTTTTCCAGGAGGAAAAGAAAGGGCAATAACTTCCCCCAAATCATCTATTAAGTAGTGGATCCAGGATTTGAACCTAACTCCAAAACCATATTATACTATTATCTCTGAACAAGGGCATGTGGTAAGATGTGTACATTATTTCATCTAATGCTCTATCTCTGTAAAGTAAGTACTCTTGTGCCCATTTTGCAGCTGTAACATTGGAGGATTTGAGGAACTTGCCCAAGTTATACAGCCAGTAAGTGGCATAGCACGCACCTGAGCAAGGCAATTGACTACAGAACCTATACTCAATTTATATGTCACGCCTCAAAAAGTATCAACTATTTCCATCTGGTTAAAATGACAGAACTTTTCTGAACTAAGCTAATATAGTAACGACTGCACCATAAAAACTCAGTTTCAGTTGTAATGGAATTATAAATCTAGCTTTATATAACGCTGGAAAATGTTAAAGATGAGTACAGTTTTCTGGGAGGAAAGACCTCTTCCCTGGCCATGCCTCCCTCTTTCACCCCTTTCTGTCTCTGTGCATGTGTTTACCTCTCATAGTACCTGACATTTAATGAGTACTTGCCACGTGTGCTAGGCATTCTTTAATTCTTACAACAGCTCTATGCCACGCAGGGACTTTTATTAAATCTATGTTATAGAAAAAGAAGACAAGGTTAGATTATTTGCCTAAGATCATGCAGAGTGAGACCTGAAGGTCTGAGTCTCTAGAGCCTGAACCATTAGCCACCATCCTCACTTCCCCATCCCCTAAACATCTAGCACCTTGAGCATTCCATCATGATCATTAGCATTCTGATATGATTATTTTCCAATTGATGTCTATCTAATCGACTCGTGGGGGACCTCAGGGAATGGGACTATATATGTGAACTCAGTACCTAGTACTGTGCCTGGCACGTAGCAAACACTGGTTGACTTTTTCTGTGTCTATTTCACTGATTTCTGTTTTAACCTTTATTGTTTTCTTGTTTAGTTGGGGTTTAGATTGCTCTTCTTTTCCTAGTTTCTTAAGGTAGAAACAGAACATTGATTTGAGACCTTGCTTTTTTTCTAATATAGGCATTTAGTGCTATGAGTTTCCCCCAAGTAATTGCTTTAACAATATTCCATGAATCTGGTATGTTGTCTTTTCATTCAGTTCAAATACTTTCAAATTCCCTTCTGATTTCTTCTTTGATATATGGACTACTTAGAAGTGTGTTAGTTTCTAAATATTTTGGAGTTTTCCAAAGAACTTTCTGTCGTTGTTTTCCACTTTAATTCCATTGTAGTCTAAGGATATATTTTGTACGACTTGAATCTTTTTGAATTTACCAAGACTTGTTCTATGACCCAGAATAAGGTCTATCTTGGTAAATATTTCACATGCACTTGGAAAGAATGTGCATTTTACTGTTGTTTGAAGAAAACAAAGTGGAGTGTGAAGAAAGGTGAAGTGCTTTATAAATGTCAATAGGTTCAAATTGGTTGAAAGTGTTCAAGTCTACTATATCCTTGCTGGTTATCTGTCCACTTATTCTGTCAATTATTGAGAGTGGGATATTGAAATTTCCAGCTATAGTTGTAGATTCGTCTATTTCTTCTAGAAGTTATATCAGTTTTTGCTTCATGTATTTTGAAGCTCTGTTATTCAAAGTTTCATATATGTTTAGGAGTGTGCATTTTGATTGATTCCTTTACTATTATGACATTACCTTCTTTGTCTCCATATTATTTGCTCTGAAATCTATTTCGTCTGCTGTTATAGCTACTACAGCTTTCTTTCGACTGGTGTTACTAGTGTATATCTTTTTCTATCCTTTTACTTTTAACCTATTTGTGTATTTATATTTAAAGTATATTTCTTGTCTGTGGCCATGCCACCCTGAATGTGCCTGATCTCGTCTGATCTCAGAAGCTAAGCAGGGTTTGGCCTGGTTAGTACTTGGATGGGAGACAACCTAGAAATACCAGGTGCTGTAGGCGTTAAAAAATAATAATAAAATAAATAAAATATATTTCTTGCAGGCAGTGTATAGTTGGGCCTTGATTTCTTAATTTATTATGACAATTTGCCTTTTAATTAGAGTATTTAGACTATATATATTTTTATATGATTAATGTGCTTAGGTTTGAGTCTTATCATCTTTGATTTGTTTGTCTCATCTGTTCTTACTACCTTTGTCTTTTCTGCCTTTTTTTTTTTATTATCTTTTTCTAATTACATCTTATCTTCTTTATTGGCTTACTAGCCATAACTTTGTTTTGTTATCTTTGTGATTGCTTTTGAGTTTATAGTATACATCTTTAACTTCTCAGAGTCTACATTCAGTTGATTTTATGACCCTTCACTTATTATAGTATAAGAACCTTACAATGTATTTTTCATGCCGCAATCTTTCTTATTATTGTCATGTATTTTATATGTTATAAAACTCACAATGCATTATTTTTGTTTAAGTAAACAATTGTCTTTTTAAGTTTTGGAAAAAAAAATCATATATTTACCCATGTAGTAACATTTCCAGTACTCTTCATTCTTTCGTGTAGATCCAGATTCTCATCCAGTATCACTTTTCTTCCGCCCAAAGGTCTTTCTTTAATGTTTCTTTTACTATGGGGTCTGCTGGCAATGAGTTCTTTCATCTTTTGTACATCTGAAAATACCTCAATTTCATTTTCATGTTTGAAAGATGTTTTTGCTGGATATACTAGATATAAGTGTTTTGCTGAAACACTTTGGAAATGTTGCTCCATTGTCATTTTATTTGCATTGTATTCTTGTTTTTGTTTCTCTGTACTAACATGTTGCATTGCATCCTTGTCTTGTTCCTCTGTACATAACAGGTCTTTTTTCTGACTGCTTTTAAGATTTTCTATCATCGATTTTGAGCAATTGAATTTTGATATGTCTTGCTTCTTGCACTTGAAGTTCCTTGAGCTTCTTGTATTTTGTATTAGTCAGAGTTCTCCAGAAACAGGACCAATAGGATGTATGTGTGTAGATAGATATAGATAGGTATTTTAATGAATTGGCTCACGTGTTTGTGAGGGCTGGCAAGTCTGAAATCTGTTGGGTAGGTTGGCAGGCTGGAAATCCCAGCAAGAGATGATATTACAGTCTTGAGACTGGAGGCAGACTTGGCAGAATTTTTTTTCTTAAGGCCTTCAACTGATTGGATGAGGCCCACTCAATTTACAGCAGTTAATCTGCTTTCCTCAAAGTCTACTGATTTAAAGGTTATCATGTCTGAAAAATAGCTTCACAGCAACATCTAGACTGGTATTTGACCAAACAACTGGGAACCATAGCCTAGTCAAACTGACACAAAATTAACCATCACAGATCTTTAGGTTTGTAGTTTGGACATTTTTTAGCCATTATTTCTCCTTATATTTTCTGTCCTCAACTCCTTGCTTTCAGGGTTTCTATTTACCTGTATATTAGGTCCCTTAAAGTTATTGCATAGCTTACTAATGCTATTTTTACTTTTTAAAAATTTTTCTGTGTTTCATTTTGGGTCATTTCTATTGCTTTGCCTTCAAGTTCATTAATCATTGCTTTTGCAGTATCTAATCTATTGTTAATCTTACCCAGTATATTTGGCATCTTATATATTGTCAACAATTTCACTTTGGGTCTTTTTATATCTTCTATGTCTCTACTTGATTTTTGGACATATAAAATATGTTATTATAACTTTTAATGTCATTCAAGTTTAATTCTATCATCTGTGTCAGTTCTGGGTTGAGTTCATTACTTGTTTTCCTTATGGTGTGTGTTCAATAAATAAAACAATCAGCATGTGGAAAAAATAAAATTGATATTTGGGTTCAAATAAAGAAAAGATAAGTGGGGCCGAGAAAAGCTACATGGAGATGGGGACTGAATTAAACCTTAAAATATATCAAGAATTCAACTAAGCAGGAAGGAAGGTACCTGAGAGGGAGAACAGCCCAGATACAAGTGAGAAGGCAGGAATGAGCATGGGCACCTTCAGAGTACAATATAGAGGCTAAGGGGGAAATGAGAAATCAACAGCTTGGATTTGCCACCTCGTGCTCCAAGCACAGCAGTGAAGAAATATCTCAGTTTTTTAAGATTTCTAAACAGGACATGGTCTCACAGCCATAATTTAGGAAGACTAACCTGGGGATCTTGGTAGAATAAAATGGAAGGAAAGAAATGAGAGGTGGGAGCAGAGGCAAGGAGGGTGGTACTTTAGACTAGAGAGGCACAAATAGAAAAATGAAGAGGAGAGGGAGAAATCAGAAAAGAAGTTAAGGTTTGAATCTGTACTTCTCAGAGAACCTTTACTTTGGAATGATGAAGTTGCGGGGAGCCTAGATCCATGGGAAACAAGTTTTATTTTGGGTGTTGGGTCTTGTGGGTGGAGATGTAGGGCGGAGGTTAGAACCAGACTGGATGGATTGCCCCCTCAATTAAAAGGTGATGGCTCAGCCCTCAACAAGGGTTCTGGTTCTCTTCTGCCACCTGTATGATAACCCCCAGAAATGTTTTTAACTTCTTTGAACTTCATTTTTCTCATTTTCCAACTGTCATGAGGTTTGGAAGGAACAAATATGCCAAAGGACATAGATGGACATGTTTCTGTAGTTAACAAAATAAAGGTTTTACAAAATAGATGATGATAATAATCATTTTTACAATTCCGTTAAGCCATGTGAATGAGTAAGATCCTGGAGGAAGACAGCAGAGCGAGATCAGAGATCCCAGGGCTAAAACTTGGAGAAATTTCACAGTACTATATCATCCAAAGGAAGTGTCCGTGATGGAGGCAGAGGTAAACTTGGAGAGGTAAGAGACCCTGAAGATGGGGAGTGCTTTGGGTGGGCTCTGCATAATAAAAGAAATTCAGTTGGTAAATACTCATCAAAAGTGTCCATCTAACACAGAAGGTCCTGGGTTCGCGCCCCAGGTGGAGCCACGGACCATACCCCGGGTACGCCAGGCCCGGGTACACTAGGCCCCCCGGGTGTGTGTGGCCCCGGTGTATGCCGCCAACGTGTGGGAGGGGATGCCCCGTCTTCAGAGATCCAGTTCTTTAGGGGAAACGGCAATATCCATGGGTCAGGGGTGGAAGTGGAAGGGGGATTAAAGAGAGGGGAAAAATTGTAAAATACCTTGTAAAAAAAATAGTATCCATCTAGAGTTCAGGTATGATAAAATGACTTTTAAAGTCAGAATCAACATGAAATGGAAAATACCCTTTTGCAGAGGTTACTGCCCTGACCTAGGTAATCCGCCAGATAATCAAATGCCTGAGAGGTCACTTCAGGGCACACCTAAAATCCTCAAGAAGTGTTTGTATCCATCCTGAAGAATGAGTATATTAACAAGAGAGGGTTGTCTGCTTGGTGCTTATTTTCCTTCTCCAGCCCCCAACCCCAATTCACACCCTCTTCTTTCTAATCTGGTTTCCCTCACTCCACTTGGTTTCCCCTTCCTGGCCCAAGTCCATTCTCCATTTTGTTCTAAAACAAAAATCTCGTATCACTCACATTCTCAAATCCCTTTCATTATTCCCCATTGCTTTGGGATAGAGGCTGCACCCCTTAAACACACAAGACGCTACGTAGATCCATGGCCTGACTCTGCTTCTCCAGGGCTCTCCCCTGTCACGCTCACAGGCACCCTCCGCTCCAGTCAGACCCTCTTGGCAGTTTCCCAAAACCACCCTAGGCTCTCATCACCCCTGTCATTGCAAGTGATGCTTCTCCTAGGATGCCCTGGCTTCTTCGAATTAATTTGGAAAGCCTTTCTTAAGCCCCAGGCTGAGCCAGATGCCCCTGTACCTACCCTCGTCATGGCTCTATGTGGTTGTTGATAGTCTGATTTCTCATCTTTCTCACTCTCTTGAGAGCAGGGAACGGCAGTATCTCCTTTCTCCATATAGTCCCTTCCACACCAGATTTTCCCAAACAAATCCTATTTTCAAGTGGTCTTTCTGGTTGTCAGTCCACCTGTGCCGACTTGGGGTCTCCAAAATACACACCCACTGTACGGGTGGAGTACAGGTGGAGAGAGCCTGGTCCAGAGCTCCCTGGCCGGAGCGCGCCACTTGCACCTCCCGGGGCGGCCGCCAGGGGCCGCCGGGCTCTTTGTTTTCCTTTCTGGCCCGGGTCGGGGCTGGAGGCCTGCAGAGCGCATGCTCTGGGGCAGTTCGCGGCCGGTCAGGCGAGCGGAGGAGTTCCTTCTGGCGGACCTGCAGAGGTAGGTCGTCCGCGTACGGGAGAAGGGTCCTGGCGGAGGGAGTCGCGCTGAGCTGCTACAACCCGAGCACCGGGGATCCTCGGCGGGCCGGGGTGTTGCTCGCGCGCGCCCAGTCGCGCCACGCCGGCTCCACGTGAAGCCGGGCGGCAGGAAGGCGCGGGTGCGGGCTCGCGGTTTCCGGCCCCGT